AGTTATAGATGGTCACAAAACATTTTTAAATTTATTTTTATGTGATGCTGAGGATTGAACCCAGTGCCTCACAATGGGCTAGGCAAGTGATCTACCACTGAGCTACAACCCTGGCCCATGTGCTTATTTAGCTTTTCCTCCCTGATCCTGATCTGGCTGATCCTGCTCAGGATCCCTGGAAAGAAGAGCATCTCAAACAAGGAAAGACATATACCAATCAGAACTATGTTCACAGATTACCTGTGAAGATTCACAAGGCCTGAGTACCTCAGAAGCATGACCAAAATCAAATGCATATTCCTCACAATGAATAAATTACCCACTGTGGCCTGTTTTGATCTCATTTGAACACCTGATCAAACAGAGGCACAAAACCACTACCTACAACTCCTTTCTTCTGGAACTGGATATGATACCATATATGGCCTTAAGTAAAAAAGAGTAAGATGAACAGATAGTTGCAGCTGTAGACTAATATATAAAACAACAATAATAAGTATTCCTTGTTTGTAATGACTAATTACCAAGGAACTAATTACCTTGTGCAATGGCCACTATACCAGCTTCATCTGGCACCATAAAGAGTAATGATACCATTATCACCAAGACCAATATTAAGGACACGCTAGACAACGAGGGCATTTATAGTTCTATCACAAACAAGTACTTAAATATGAGTAAATTTTACCCAGCTGATCATCAAAAAACTGTGAAAGAAAAAAAAATACACAGCCTTCTGAAGCTCTAAAAGACTTTCCTAAATGAAAGATGATGGCATTTATACTACAACAGCAAGTATCAAAATATGAATAACCTACTTATCATAGGCAGAGGAAGTCACAGTAAGAAATGAACAGTGATAAGTGTCTACATGCTCTCAACTGGAAAAGAGACAAGAGGAGGAATAAGTTCTCAGCAGCCAAATCAAGAAGGAAGATTAAAAGAACTATCCTGATAGAGACAGCAGGAGGAAGAGAATTCTGACACTAGTATTATGGTCCATGAGATATAATTAATTGTGAGTATGGTAGGGATGACTTCATCACCATAAATAATTCCCATTGGTGCCTCAACTCCAGATAATAGATCATGTAATTGTTACCTATTTTATAGAAGAAAGGAAGAAAATCTAGGATAAATCAAGCCTGCCTTGTTTTGATGGAGGATACATGGATAAAACAACAGCAGAGTAATTTTCTACTATACTTTTTATTCATTTCATGTGTTAAATTCAGCATAAAGACTTACATAAGTAGTATCTAATTTTAGTTTTGATATAGCTAGGCATTGGTCACATGGGAATATATATTAATCTTTTTCCTTGTCTGTATGTTTGAGATTAATTCACAATAAAAATATTCCACCCTAAAAACAAACAAACTGCAAGTGTAATCCTTTTTGCTTCATAATCATAGGAATGCACACACTATAAACTTCCTTGCAAGCCCCCAAATTGTGGAAATTGTAAAAAAAAAAAAAAAAAAAAGTCAATACCTGCACTGCAAACAATTCATAGGAATCATCAATGGATTAGAAATGTGAGAAATCCCCAAACTAGGTATAGTAGATGGGGCTAGACTCACTTTTTCCAGTAATCTAAGTAAACTCACAATGAGTGCAAAGGTTGTGGTAAATGGGGAGCTGATGCAAGAGTGCTCTATGCCCTGAAGAAGTACTTGCTTCACTGCCACAAACTGGTAGACTTACCCAAAAGGAGATCTTATAGGTTCTGGTTACAAAGAAAAATTCAGTTAGAGAATGAGCTTATAACACTGAATTCCCATAAAATCCTACCAGAGTTGAGAAGAAATTTTAAAGAATTATTATTATTCATTACAATAATATACATTATTATCCTCTGTGTATATATGATTATATGACCAGTGTGATTCTATATCATGGACAACCAGAAGTATGAGAAGTTATATTCCATTTATGTATGATGTGTCAAAATGCATTCTACTGTCACATATAACTAACTAGAACCAAAAAAAGATAATTTTCAGTATTCTAGGCACATATAACTTCAAACTTAAAAAAAAAATGGAGAGGAGAACCAGAGTGGTTGGTGTGTGCTATTTGACTCCTTGAAGACTTCTATGCCCATCATATTCTGATCTCACTCATTATAAAAGAAAAAGTTCAGCCTGAATCAAGTGGAGCCTGTAGTATGCCACTGTCTGGGTATTTGAGTACAAACAGTATATGCTGTTTATCAATCATTTGTTGACCACACCCCTCCATGCCAGTTTCCTGAGTGGACATGGCCACTTTCCCTTGTGTCAGGCTAGGATCTTATCCTTCCTCTTTATAGGACTTCTTCCAACACATGGAAAAATCTCTTATCAACAACCTTTCCAGATATGAAAATGATAAGTTAGGAGAGAACACAAGGAAACAAAAGAGTAGGGCTCAAAGGACACCATGTTCTGCCTCATCCATATAATTATTGATTGAAAATACAGAATTATTTCCCCACAACCCACTGGGTTTTTCACCTGGGAAGTTGCAGACATGAGGGACTAAATATTGAGAGTTTTTTACTCACTCAATTACTGTTCAAACTGAAGTAGAAGACTTATAATGTCCTCCAGAATCTCTGTCTCCTCTTCAATTGAGGCCTCCATAGCCTTGTTGTTAACATAGGCCAATATAGATCAGAGAGTCAGTGAGTACCCCTTAGCTGATTGTCATTAACCCTTAATCCAAAAGGCACTGTAGAATGCAGTGGAATCAAGAGCACTACTAGAGGTGTGGAGGATACATGGACATGTAAAAAAATCAGGCCCTCTCAGGTTTGGGGCTTGGCTATATTGTTCAGTTCGTCTATGAAGCAGGGATCCAAGTCAATGGGAAGAAATGACTGCCAGGTTTAGGAAGATCCCAAGTATTTAACACTGATCCTTCCCCACACGGCTTTCCTTGCCCCTCATTCCCCATCCCAACCACACTGAGTCACTAGCCTTAGCTGGAAGGCCATTTCTTTATTCAATCTGTTCTTTCCTGAAAATTTATTGAATTAGAACAGCACCAGCCCATTGCAAAACACTTGTAAGAGATCATAATATTAAATTCATTTTTGGAGTTTGTCTTCTGATTTACCCTACATGAACCTATAACATTTTGCCTGTTTCTCAAGATGAGAATCCCTTCCACCTATAGATCATGACTGCAAGACACTTCATTTAAAGTATCTCCAGAGAGAAATTAAAAAAAAGAAAAGACGGGAAGACAAGGCTAGAGAGATTAGACTTTTCTGTTTCTGCAGAGAAAAAAAATCAAAGGAAGGGATATTAGTGAACTTATCAAGGTTAAAGTACATGTAAGTGATTTAGAATGGGTCAAAACTCATGTTCCTAGGTCTGAATTCAATGCCTGTTTCTCCACAGGAGGCACCCGCTTTCTACACAAGTGCAGATGTCTGGACTTCACTGGGTACAATTTGGCTGGCAATTCTGCTTTCCCAGTGATACGCATTGCCCTACCATAGAATTCATTCACCAGATGCAGCCATATTCTATTTCACAAACTCCAATAAAGGCCAAGAAATATCAAAGACTATATATAGGCTAGACAGGGCCTTTCCCCAAGTGGGACTACAAACTGAGCCTCTGTTGAGCAAGCATTTAATCCCTTCCAGCCAAACAGGTAAAAACCATTCACTTGCCTTTTAAGAGTTCAGTTAAGAACACATGTAAGAACTTTTCCATCATGTATTCCTTCAACATGCATTTATTAAATGCCACATTCTCAACACTGCTTCAACACCTTGAGAGGCCTGCTATGTCTGTGCCTGCTATGTGAAAAAGGCTTTTCATTTACTATCTCATTTCATTCATACAATCCTATGAAGCCAGTACTTTACCTCCATCTTTCAGGTGAGAAAACAGCCTCAGAGAAGTAAAGTGACTTGAGCAAGCTAATACTTGCAATGACATGAGGAAAAAAAATCAAAATGCCAGCTCTAGGGCCTGCCTCAGGGCAGCAAAAACTGGCTCAATGCCCTTTTGGACCAACCAAGATAAGCTTCAGGGAGAAAGATGCCTCTGAGCAGGCAGATGGAATTCAGATAGTTGGAGAAGAAAGAGAAGGTGATTTAGGCAGAGAAAACAAGTGAGCAAAGTTCAGAGTGTGCTCTGAAAGAAGCAAAATAAATGAGGTACTCAGGGAGACTGGAGCCTGGAAACATTGGAGCCAACCTGCACTCCCCTGCCTCCACCCCATTCTCCATTTCCTTCCAGCCTCCTAAGCCTTTCAGTGGTCACCCTCAAAATGCCTGTCTCCATTCCCATAGCAACAGCCTCAAGGCTCACTTTCATGCCTCTTGCATCTTATTTTAATTGCTTCCTATGTGGTCTGCCAGGAGATAGGTGCCCCTCCTTGAGGCTGCACAAATGGAGGTCTGATCCTCTTACTGCCCTGCTGAGTAACCCCTGAGAACGCAGAACACTGCAAAGGCTCTGCACCTTTTTCACACTACTGGCTTTGCACTCCTATCTCCTCTCATCGCCCAGCACTTTGGCCATAACATTATTATCCAGGTCCTAGATGAGCCTAAGAATTAATTAGATATGTATAGTATAAATGCTTTCTTAAAACAGGGAGAATGAGTGAATGCGCTGCGTAGGACAGAACAGGAAAGGAGGGCTGAGGTCAACGGATTCCTTCCAAGAATACACCCCCACCTCAGTCCCGCGCGCCTTTCATTCCCCGCCCCCCACCTCCTGCTGGCCTCCGTTGTGCATAGAGACTCACTCTTTCCCAAGACCCCAGTGGTAATAATTATGGAATACAAAGAATGATCTTCATTCCTTTCCCCCTTGCTCCTCCTCCCCCTCCCCAATTGCTTTTCCCCACCCCCACTCCCACTCTCAGATGCCAGCCTCCCATTCACTCCGCCAGCCCACGGAAACTGGCAATGCAGACCACCTCACTTCCGGTGCAGGAGTCAGCGGACGTGCTGGAAGTGGGGCGGGGCGAAGCCATCCAAGGGGAGCTCTCTGACTGGAGGATTCTGGGAAGGAAGTCCGGAGGGCCGGAGGCGGGCGCGGTTAGCCTGGAAGCTGCTGCGTGGGAGTTAACCACATAGCAGCTAACGGTGACATTTTTGTTGCCCGTGGCAGGAACAGCATTGTCAGCAGCTGTAGAGGCGACTGCAGCGGCGACGGCCTCATCGGCGACGGCAGAGGTAGGGAAGGTAGGGGGCGGAGGTTGCTGTAGAGAAAGTAGGTACCTTAATGATAGAAGCCGCGGTGACAGCAGTGGGAGCAGTATCAGCTGAAGCGATAAGTTTCTGAGGCTACTCAGAAACTATTCCCTCCTGTTTTCCAGTCTGGTGTGATCTGTATGCACAGATCTCTTGACTTGCCTGCGTGAATTCCATCCCCCATTCCCAACGGGGCTGGACACAAGCTGCAAGGACAAAATAGTGGGCCTCATCGAAACTCATACACTGTGGGAGAGAATTGAGGTGCCTACAGCCATATACAGGGCCTGATGTCTTCACAAGGCCCAGGGGCTTCCAGAACCTTCAGGGCCTCCCTTGGCCCAAGCACCTTGGGGATGTCAAACAACATGGAGACCCTTAGTCCCTATTCATTTTGCCCCAACAACTTGAGAGGCACAGGATGGAATCCTAACATGTTGTGGAGACTGAGTTCTTCACAAGGATTGAGCACCTCTTGGAGGGGCCCAACCGTCTGGAGGGGTCCCACAGCTTGGCAGAGACCAAATACTTGGGGGACCCCAGCCTCTTGGCTAGACCCAACCACCTGGCAGGACCCCAGCACCTGGCAAGATCCCAATGCCTCACTAGGTGTGAGCATTCGGCGAGGCCTGAGTACCTGGAGGGGCCCTAACCCATCAGAGATCCGGAGCCCTTGGAGAGGCCCCAGCACCTGGCAGGCCCCAAACAATTGGAGGGGCCCAAGTACCTGGAGAGGTGCAAGCACTTGGCGAGGCCCGAACGCTCCCAGAGGCCGTGGTAATCCACGGGTGCAGAGCCCCTCTGAGACTCATAACACCATGTGGGTCCCAGGCACTTCCTGGGGCCCAAGTCCTTCAAGGGGTCGTGGCAACTTCCAAGGCTGCAGCAGCTCTCATGGCTGGAATAATTCTCATGACTGGAGCATTTCTCATGGCCAGAGTACTCCTAGGAGACCCAGTATCTCTGAGATTCCAAGTGTATCACAAGGGTTGGGTATGTCAGAGACTCCAGGTCCTTCCTGGGACCTGAGTACTTTGGAGACCTCAAACACCTCACAAGACCCAAGCAACTGGGAGGCCCCGAGCAATTCCAGTTGTCCAAACACAGGCTTCAGCACTTCAAGGGACCAAAGTACTTCTAATCATCTGAATATATCAAGTGTCCCTAGTACCTCAGAGATTACAGGCATCTCTGAAATTCCAAGAGCCTTGAAAGTTGAGGTGGCTTCAAATGATCTCAACACCTTGAGGGCCCCAAGAGTTTCTAATGGCCTAAGGATCTGTGAGGATCCCAATACATCGACATCTATGAACAGGTATGAGGCCCCAAGAAACTTAAAGGCTTCCAACATCATGGAGACCTCCAATACTTTAAAGGACCCCAGAATCTCTGAGACTCAAAGCACCTCTAAGGCCCCCAGCACTTCTGAGGTCCCAAGTACCTTGAAGGGTCTGAGCACCTTGAGTGTTCCAAGCACCACAGAGACGGTGAGTGCCTCAAAGACCCTAGACATCTCAGAGGTCCCGGCTGCCACAAAGGCCCTTACCACCTTGAAACCTCCAAGCATGCATGAGACCTCCACCACTTTAAAGACCCTAAGCAACTCAGAGGCCTCTAGCATGTTAAAGGCCTGGAGTACCTTGAAGGATCCAAGCACCTTCAGATCCCCCAGCACCTTAACTTCTCTGATTGCATCTGAGTCTCCCAGTACTCCAGAGGCCCCTGGAATCTCAGCGGAACCCAGCTCTTCAGAGATCCTTAGCTACTCAGAGGCCTCAAACATCTCTCAGAAACAAAGAATCTCAAAGGCTTGGGGTATGTTGAAGACCCAGAAAAACTCAAGATCCCCAAGCACTATCAAACGTGAGAAAAGCTTCAAAAAAGGTCTCCTAACTGTGATGTTAGGCATCATTTTCATGGTGGGCACCTGTGCTACAGAAAGCCTCATTTGGGAAGTTCTGCAAAAGTTAGGGGTGCAGCTGAAAAAGAAGTACAGAATATTTGGGAACCTAAAGAAGGTAATCACCCAAGAGTTTGTACAGCGTGGGTACCTGGAATATAAGCCAGTGAACAATGGTAGTCCACTGGAGTATGCATTCTTCTGGGGACCTAAAGCCAACCGGGAAAACAGCAAAATGGAAATTTTACAATTTGTAGCCAAAGTTTATAACAGAGACCCCAGGGATTGGCCATCACAATATAGTGAAGCTGTGAAACAGGAGGAGGCCAGAGCCAGGATGAAAACCAAAGCACTGACTGATGTCCAAGCCCAAACCCACGCCAGAGTTCAGATACCTGCAGGTGTTTGTGCAAGTTCCAATACCAATTTCGCTGGCACTTCCAGTGCTAATACCAGCAAAAAGTCCTGCAGCTAGTAAAGGATAAGTCATAATGATCACTTGATGACAAAGAGCAATCAGAAGTAAGAACACCAGATCAATGGGTATTAACAATTTTGAAGAGAAAAGGAGAGAAGGAAAAAAAAAACAGTGTATGGCATTAGTGTTTGGGATTGTGTGAGTAACTTTAGGATTTAGGTATTATTTGAATATTGCTAAGTTTTGCCTCTTGCTTGAAGTTCACAGTATATGTTTGTCAATTAGATTTTTGTAATTTTTGTAATGGATCATAGTATTAAGTGTTCATAACTTTTGAAGATTGTTTTTCCTATTGTTGTAGAGATATGCCATAAGTGTTGTAACTGCTTTTAAAAATGAGAAGTTTTCATCATATACTGATATGAATTAAATATATAGTACTTAAAATGACGGATCTATAAATATTTGAATGGATTTACAAGTAAAATAGATGTATCCTAAATAAGGAAAACAATGACAACAAAACAAACACATTTATGTATATCCATCTGTATTCTTTGTGTTTATTGTAAGGTTGAAATTTTCCATGATTTAGTTTTCCATGTGTTAATTACCACAGATTACAGAGAAAAATAAAAGCCTATTAACCAGTAAACTATGTTAATTTACTTTCCACCTATCTGTTGTGTGAGGAATAAGTTCTGTGGATAACTCTTAGCACTTGGGGCCCAGATAATATGAGAGAAAAATATGTAAACTGGAAGTATGGTAAGTACTATCATAGAGACTCAGAATGAGGTGCCACAAAATATGGAACATTATGAGAACACTCCTTAGTAATAGGATGGAGAAGAGGACATTATAGTATGCTTAAATTATATGAAAAGAGGGGAAAGAGTGAAGGGGTGGTTGCAGGGGAAAAAACAGACAACCATATGCTACAAAAATAAAAATGAAGGGACTGTAAGAAAATTCTTTATAAGATGACAATCTGATTAGTGAAAGTAATACTAGAGATGAGAGAGAGTAACTATACAGGAACTGAGGCAGCAGGGACATTGGAAGAATGACAACGTTTACACTGAACTGTTAAGAGTCTGTCAAGGGAAAACCAGAGAATAAGAAATGAGGCAAAGGAAAAGGGAAGAATGACCAGAGCCTCAAAGGGTAGCTGTTATGGCTGAATTTAAACTAATAATAATACAATGACTAACAAAAAGGATGAATCTGGAATAATGTGGAGAAAAGCTCTAAAACAGCAGAGTTACTCGGATTTTAGAGGAAAACCTATAGCATCTCTTAA